ATGAAATTGTTAGTTGACATCCATGACAATGAATATGTAAAAATAATAATAATAACAATAAAAGTAATAATAACAATAACAGTAATTTAATTACTTTAGTAAAAACATACTGTTGAAAAGCATATGACAATAAAAACAACACTTCTGATCTTAAGAATCCTCTAAAATGTTTTTAAAAGGAAAAATATATATTTTTTAAAACTAGTATTTTTGTAAATAATCCAACCATTGTCAATCATGTTCAAGCGACTTGAACTGAAGGTGAACAGTGAATGATCACCAGTAAACTGAAGGTGCTTTGCAGGTTAATTAACCCAAACACATCTTATAGGCCTACATATGACATTAATCAAAAATATACACAACATAATTGTAATATTATAACTTGCATCTCCACAAAATGACACAAAAGAACAAATGCACTTTAACCTAGTTACTTTACATGCTGTTGTTAAATGTTAATACTTGTTTAAATTATTGTATAATTTGTTGAAATAACTGATTCAATTGTCAACATTAATGAAGGCAAGAAAAAAATGTGCATGACAATAATTAAAACATACTGTTGACAAATATATGACAAGAAAAAAACCTCTACATATTAATATTTGGGTGCATTTTGCACTCTCTGATAAATTAAATGTTACTTTCATTTACTAAAATATGTATATATATATTAAAATTAAAGAATACTACATGACAATATTTTACCTAAAGTTAAAGTTTTATTCATAAGACAAAAACCTGAATTATAATAAAATAAACAAACACACAAACATTGCTGGCTTGCACAACGATCAAACCTGTACCCCTACTGAAGCCCTTCAGATGAATTGGAACTTCTGCCCAACATCAGCACTTTACCTCACTGAGGCTATCATACCTGAATGGGAGCAAATCCCCACACCAAAATCCCAACATCTAGCAGGAAGTCTTCCGTAAAGAGTGGAAGATATTACAGCAGCAATTTAAATGAACTGAAATGAAATGTTCAACAAACAAATATGGGTGGTGTCCGGGTACAGTCTATAAGCTACAGTCCAAAACACACACACAAACACACACAGCGCTTCATACCATGGCAGTGCTTCAAGTTTTTCAAGCCAAACTCCTCCGTGCAATGGACGAGTCCGAACCGAATCCTGATGCTTTTAAGGAGCTGCGCACAGCAACTGACCTGGGGTGCATTTCCCGTGCAACAACGTAACTCACTGATTAACCATCATAGTATGATGCATTGTTGTGTAAACTAACTTGCAGTCACGACTGTTTCCCGAACATGGTCGCGCATCCGTCGTTTGAACTACATTAATTCAACAATTTAGGGCCGTTTTTAATGACGTCACACGCATGTGGTGGAGTAATAACTTCTGCTAATTCATTGATTCGAGATTTCTGAGATGCTGCTGTATTGAACATGGCACCTGATGACTAATTTACTATGTTTTGTTAAGAACACTACTAAAGCTACTGCAAAGGTGATTGGCAAGGCCATGGCCAGCTTGGTGGTGCTTGAGCGCCACCTTTGGCTGAACTTGACGGAGATCAATGACGTGGACAAAATCGCCTTCCTACAGAGCACCCTCAGACGGCTAAATGCAACCCTTTCCTAAGCGCCAGGGCCCCTATCCCAGAGTGACACTGGACCCTGAGCCGCACAAGCCGTCTTGATCTCAAAGAAGAAAGGCAGAGAAGAGGATTAGGTCCCGCCGAGGCCAGACCGCCCTCAAAGAAGTCTCTCACTTTCTCTCCAGTCTCCCGTTTAACTCTGGGTGATGGAAGCTCTGTTCACACTGGACCTGTCCTTGCTACTCAGCACGTGCTCAAGAAAATTATTGCTGTGATAGCAGACCAACCTACTCAAAAGAGCACTTCTTCTCTTCACAACAACACGAATGTCAGTTCCCTGCCCCCGCTCAGTGAAAAACTCAGACCACTTGCCACCCGGCTCCAAGCTTGGAAAGCAATGTCAAGCTGGGTTCTGCAGACCATAGAACAAAGCTACTCTCTCCAGTTCACTCGCAGACCCCCTAGTTTCAGAGGTGTTATTCAAACTTCGGTACAGGACAATGATGCACATGTTCTCCGGTCCAAAGTGCAAAGTCTGCGAACAGCGAGTCAGGCTTTTACAGCCACTACTTCCTTGTACCCAAGAAAGATGGTGGGCTTAGGCCCATCCTTGATCTCAGACACCTGAACTGTGCCCCAATGAAATGCCCATTCAGGATGTTTACTTTGAAGCAGATCCTCATGCAAATATGCTCAGGAATGCTCACTGACAATTCAGCGGCTAGCGGCATCGTTCACAATGGGGGCTTCTCACCCCCTCAAGGTTTTCCAGAGGATGCTTGGCCTCATGTTGGCCACCTCCTCAGTGATTACATTGGGCCTGCTTCACATGCAGCTCCTCTAATTCTAGCTCAAAGCACGTGCACCGTCCCACGCTTGCCGCCTGGGATGCTTTCGCCTTAAGTTGACCCACTGCTGCATCAGAGCTGTGGCCCCTTGGAAAGCCTCTTGTCTGTATCAGACAGGCATTTAATTGGGACTGACCTTCAGAAGGAAGGTAGTAATGACAGATGCCTCCAACTCGAGTTGGGGAGTACTGTACGAGGGCAGACTGGCATTCGGCTCCTGGTCCAGCCTGGAGCAACACCTGCACATCAACTGCCTCGAGATGATGGTGTTTTTTCTCATCATTCTCAAACCAAGACATGGCTATGTGCCTTAAGTACTCTCCACACCATTCAGAGCACAAGTCATCATCCTTCCAGCTCTTCCTAATTCAGAGGACAAGCAGGGTCCTAACTTACTCTGCCTGGTCCTGGGCCTTAGAGTTTACATAAAACGCTCTTGCCACTTTGTATGCTTCGAAGGCTGCTCTAAAGGGCTGCCCATTACAAAGCAGAAACTATCCCACTGGATATTAGATGCTATAGCCCGGTTATATGCCTCAGTGGACTTACAGTGTCCCATTGGAATGTAGTTATGTAGACCCCAGCATCAGGACCTGGGTCTCATTGCTAGCTCATGCTTCTTAGGAGCCCTCATTGCAGGCACTCCGGGGCTGGGCTTCATTCTGCACTTATTTATAGCACAGTGCTATTGGATACGTTCCCCAAAGCGTTTCACGCAACATGAGAGACAGTTTTCGAAAAGTGAACACTCCAGTTACTAACGTAATCTCAGTTGCCTGAGATAACTCATAGACTGCCATGCTATAACGCTGCACGCGACTCGATGACTGTTGCTCAGTTGAAAGATTCTGATGAAATGGCATTCAGCGCCGACTTAGATAGGCAGTCGGCTCCGCCCATTTTGGCGGGTTGAAATGCCATTTTTTTCGTGCAGCTACACGAATGTAAACAAATCAGGCTTCAGTATTCAGAGTAAACAGGAGTTTGCCCAAAGCGTTTCACACAACGCTCTCAGGGAACCAAGGTTACGTTGGTAACCGGATGCGTTTTGCAGCGAGTGGAAAAATGATCATCTACAGTAACAAATCAGTCCAACACAAGGACAGTCACACAGTTGCTTCCATCCATTAAACTGATCCCAAATGACACAGTGAGCTCCATATCTGCTATTTGGGCCAGAGAGAGAGAAAGAGAGCTCAGCATTCCCTGCTGACAGAACAGAGAGCTTCTGTCTCTTCCCAATTCTGCTATCCACTAGGTTTGGAATGGCCATACTAGGATAGCATATAAATGTGGCCCATTCTTTCAGACTGTGTGTGTGTGTGTGTGGTAACTGCTGCTCTTGCTTTGACCTCTCCTCCCAGATGTTCGGCACATCAGTGAACCAGCGATTACTTGTATTTGATATACGGTGATAGGTTTATGTTCCACTGTGTGTGTGTAAGTGTGTGAGTTGCAGGAGGACAGAGAAGGATGCTGGGGGCCGGAGTGATTATTTGTTCATCTATTTTTCGCACTCTATGACGTCAAAGCATTTTTAAATATACTAAGAAAAAAAAAGGGAAGACTGAGCAGTGTTCTAACACCAATTTAACAAATTGCACATGGTCTACATGGGGTGAAATCACAACAATAAATGAACAAATATGTTCAGAAACAGAAAAGATGTATGCCTCTTTGTGCAAATATAAAGGACTTATTAGAAAAAATTGCGGTATAAGAAAATAAAAATTTCACATCTGACTTGGATTTGTGATCATGTTAATGGATGCTATGATATATTTGATACAGTATATTTATAGCATCCATGTTTAAAAAACTGAAAAAACATGTTTTAGATTGATCAGCTAATGCATTACTATAAATGATTCCAATTTTATTTGCTGTTTTGAATTTGAATACATTGCGGAGTTCGGTGATAGTGATGTGGGATGGCATAGAAATGAATCAGAAAAAGTATATTTGACCACAATAAATTCCTGGAAAGAATTTAAAAGTCCATGTTTTCGATTGGTGTTTCAATTCAGTGAGGTTGGTACTCTTTGCACATTACATTAATTTACAGTTTACCTTCCCGATTTCTAAACTAATTTAAGTTGTAGCAAATTAATTGGGAATACTATATCAACGCTTGAGATGCAAGGCAAAAAACACTAACAAAATGTGTGTGTTGAAACAAAATGTGTGAAAACATTGTCAGGTTTCTGAACTGAATTGAAGGGAATGGGGATAGACATAGATATGAATCTGCACTGGCCAAAAAGGAAAGACAAATTGAAAGCATTTCAATGCCTAGTATTAAAATGGGTCAATGTGCACGTTTAATATCTCGACACACACAATCATGCACGCTACAGCACCATGAAGCGTTTGAAGCGCCTGTCGCTCTGCATTTCGGAAAATGCTTTAGAACAGGTTGCAGCACCACGCAGTTTAAACAGCAAAAAGTGGCCCTCTCGTTTCCCCTTATGCCAACCACATTGTATGTACTTTCCAGCTGAAACCCCTGCTTACTATGCAACAGCCTAACAAAGAGCAGAAAGAGTTGAATTTATAATATATTGTCCATAGAAGTGCCGTTACCTGGGAATGAGCCGCAGTCAGAAATCCGAGGTCTGTATATAGGAGACGTGTGGGTATTTCCTCGTTTTCTCAGTCGTTGCTCAGCGCAATTCCATCAGCCTGAGCTCGGAATAAACCAAAAGATTCTCCGCTGCCCGAGAATAGCAGGAAATGTTTCACGGTTTCTCCCGAAAACACCCTGATAAGACAGATTCAGAGGAAACGATCTTAAAAGTGAAGAATTGTGTACGCGCGCCGCTCGATCAACAGAACGTCTACGTAAATGAAGTCTAGTTGGATTTGTCCGTTGAAGAGCTTGTTTGGAAACGACCGCCAGCTTCTCCCATTATAGCGCAAATGGGGAAAAATGAAACAACAAACACGAATTCACTTCTATGACCTGTTTTTCCCCTCTATGAGTCTAATCAACACTCTCTTTCCGTTTAAACGTATTTGAGGTGGTATATTTCGGTTTTCCGGCAACAAAAGCCGATTTAACACGTTGACTTTAGCAAGTCTCGAGTTTAATTAATCTATCGGCATCTCGAGCGTCTGATTCCGGCTACTGAAGGCGGTCATGGTGCTCACCGGCTCCGCTGTCGTTTCCCCGTGATTCCGGGAGCCTTTGCAATGAGAGAGATGCTGTGAGGTTTTTGATTGCCCATCTCTCTCGCCGTCTCTCTCTCTCTCTCTCTCTCTCTCTCTCTCGCCGTCTCTCTCTCTCTCTCTCTCTCTTATGCGCGTTACTGCTCTCTGTGACGCTCTGTATCCGAGCTGCTCTGTCGCTGTGACAACGCGCGCATTCCACACGCGGGCCTCTCAGCATCCCTGCATTGCTTTATGATACAGCTCTGCTGGACAGTGGACACAACACTAACAGACCTCGACGTATAACGGCCGTAGTGCTGTCAAAAAAACATGGCTGAATTTTATATGATATGATACGTTTGATTTATCTCTCCTTCCTCACGCACGCGGCCATCCTGCATCAGAATGACGTCAGGGCATATTAAAGTGGCAGAAGCCCCTCTTGTTCACCATCACACGACCTCAACTGCGCCGGGTGATGGGGGAGCTTCTTTTATATCCCTGTTGTGCTAAGGCTTATTGGTTTGTTATTTGTATGGAAACGCGCATCTTTGGTACCCAGATAGCACTCATTCGCAGGAAACGGAAATCAGTTTTCAAATTGTTGAATGCAAGGTGTTACATGCTGTTTCGTAGTTTAAGAAGTTTACTAGCAATTTCTGATATTTCTGAAACTGTTTCTATAAGTGTGTTTTTGTATAATGGTAAAATAATATAATTGTGTGTATATATATATATATATATATATATATATATATATATACTGTGATGTCATAATATTTTCAGTAATATAATATTTTACCATTATTTCAAACCATACACTCTAAAAAAATGCTGGGTTAAATACAACCCAGTGCTGGGTAAAATAGGGACAAACCCAGCGATTGGGCTGTTTTGACCCAGCGGTTGGGTTAAATGTTTAACCCAACCTTCTGGGTAGTAACCCAACCGCTGGGTCAAAACAGCCCAATTGCTGGGTTTGTCCCTATTTAACCCAGCATTTTTTAGAGTGTATATTTTCTCAGAAAATATACTGAAGAAATATAGATTTTTCAGAAACAATTTTCACTTAGAAATTGCTAATAAATTTCACAATTAATTACAAAAAAACTGCAAGTAACATATTGAATTAAAGGTGAAATGTAATAGTGATGAATGGGGACATGCAAATTGGTTGATATTGTGATTGAGAATAAACTATTGAAACAATGCACATTTTCTTTAAAAACGTACACTACATTACTAAACAGAATCAAACCAGTCAAATAATGTCAGTAAATTCAGTATTCTGATAATTATATCATGGCTCATGGAAACACAAATGTCACAGGACCTGTGTATTTTACAGGACTGTCAGATGGTTGCTATATTGTTACATTTACAAAATAGAAAGGAAACACAATCCATTATTAATTAAATTATTTAAAATCATACAATTTATGCAGAGTTAAAATGAACTCAGTAGACTCTAATTGTAAACTACATGACATGCAATTATTTCACAATCCTCCATCACTTAACATCAGTCTGAGAAAGCAGCAGTTTGATAAATGTATTAATAATTTAATAACTATAATCTTTGATTCCGCTCCAGCTGCACAAACTGCAGTACTAATACCTCTACACACATGAAACAAGGAAATTTAGGGAACATCTATTTCTTGTGGAAATATCTATTTTCTGATTCTGCTCTACAGTATGATGTGATGAGCATCACCATGGGCATCAGTGAGACCCAGCTGAAACACATCCAGTTAGTTACACAGAAATAGATCACATTCTAACTCCAGACAACACTGAGGACGTTCAGGAGATCTTAAACTCATGCAGACTGGTCTCACCTTAATTTGAACTGAAGCTGAAGGCAGCAGGTGTGTCTAAATCTGTTAAAGCAGCAGAAACATCTGCTCTGGGCAGAAGAGGGATTCATTCCTCCTGCCTCTCACAGCATGAGGGAGACATTTACTGGCCTGCTTTGCCACAGTATCCCACCTTACAAGACCATACACTCTAGAAAACAACAGAGGCAGTTCTCCAAATGCTCCACAGACAATTTATCTACAATGTGAGAGCCAGAGTCAGGGATTCATTCCTCCTGCCTCTCACAGCATGAGGGAGACATTTACTGGCCTGCTTTGCCACAGTATCCCACCTTACAAGACCATACACTCAAGAAAACAACAGAGGCAGTTCTCCAAATGCTCCACAGACAATTTATCTACAATGTGAGAGCCAGAGTCAGCATGCACTATATAAAAAAAAAAAAAAAAAAAAATCCTGTTGTTTTTACAAAACAAAACTGGCAGCTGTGGTTGCCATACAATTCTGTGAAAAAAGCAAACAACTTTTACAGTTTAAAACTGTAAAAAAAAAAATATTGTAAATACTGAATTCTACTGAATTATAACCATGCTGCTACAAAACTCTGTCCACCATAATAACAGAGGTTGTAAAGAGAAAGGAACATGGTGAATCAAAGTTCATCACAAGTAGCTGTTCTGCAAGCTGAGGTATAGAAGATTCACATTGGCATACACACATATGCAAAACGCCATGATGGCAACACACTTGACACTAAAATAATGCAATAAACATTAGGCAAACAACAAAATATGTAGCCCTAAAAAAATCAGATGATTGATTAAAATCATTTAAATTTTATTAAAATTACATTATTTTTGTTTTTCAGTGTGACTTTACTGGAATGACTGTATAAAGGTAATACTGACAAAGTATTTGAAGCACTTGTGTTGATTAGAACAAACAAACAATCAAAACATTTTCACCTGTCTCTCCTTTTCTTTAAAATAAAAAACATAGAGATCCCATAGACTACTTAAGTTTGCCTGAGAAAGGTTGATTGACTGAAATGTTGCTCATTAAAAATTCTGTTATGATGAAAACCTGAGAAGTGTGCAGGATCTATATTTTTCTAGTTTATGTTGTAATTTCATCACCTAAGATTGATTCAAATATGCAGGGCACTATATATATATTTTAGGCTTAAAGAAAAACATTTAAACAATGTAAAGTTATATTCTGTGTACAACTTTGTTTACATAAAAACCCTAAAACAAATGTAAACATGATTTAAACAGTTTTAAGGTTCAAACAACACACATTTTAATAAAGAAATGAACAACTCTTCTGATGAAATTAAGAGCTGTACATTTTTGCTCTTAAATCCTCCAAAAATCATCCCCATTTACCTTCATTTTAAATATTCCCTAATCTTCAGCCTTAATTTTTTTAAAGGAAATAAAGAATGTGCAAAAAATAATAATAATAATAAAAATCTGCATTAACTTCCAAAGCTCTTTCATCCAAAAATGTCTATATTTGGAAAGATCTTTTTTTTTTTTTTTTTTCAGAAGCTTGATTTGTTCCAGAATAGTTTCTGGAGAAATGGCATTTTAACAGTGCTAAAAACATCCGTCTCATGCGGTCCTTTGTTTTGGTCACATTTCTGTAATGACTGTTATGGCATTTTGCAAAAGTATCTTTTAACAGTCATGCTGGCAGATTATCAGTGATGAAGACAAAGAAAAACATGCAAGCCAAGGGACGAGAACAAGGGAGGACAGTGTTAGATGGATGCAAGGGGATGAACAGAAAGGAGCAATTAGGTTGGGGAGGGGGAGGTGGACTATGATTGACGACACTATCCAAGATGGTGACAAGGAAGATACTGTCCGAGACAGAAACAAAGCTGTCTGATGTCCCTAAGACATATTACCTTTATATCACGTTTACTGCCCTAAACCAAAGACTGAGAGTTCAGAGATGAAGACGCATGCAGTTCTCAGTGGATAAGAATCAGCCATCAAAGGTTATGGTCCACAGCAGAGAAGACTGACATACAGTATGTGCAGAGCTAGAGTTGATGTAGCCACACAACCTCTTTGATATTCGCATCGCACACACGTACACAGCGTTTGTCCGTTGGGGGTCATCTACAACAGGAGAGGAAACCCCTGGGGAGTTGTACATTCTATACAGAAATATTCTGCAATGCTCTCTCTCGCTCTCATTTCTACTGAGGGACGTTTGATCTGTCTCATTCTCAGTAAGTGACCGGCGAGAAGAATCTTTGATGTGACTTATAAGATCCTCTCTTGCTGTCAGCTCCCCAGAGGACGAGGGGGCTTTGTTTCACAAAGATGCTTCAAACATGCATGCATACATTCTTACAGATTGCACACACTCAACAATTCATCCAACCTCACGCTCTCATTGTAATCTAATAGCTTTTTTTTTTGTTGCATACAATCATCATTGCTCTTATACAATGGTAATGTAATAAGCTAAATTGAATTTATAAACTCAGTGGGCAGGGTCTTTTGGATGTTTCAAGTCATCATGATCTTCCATCTGTTTTGACAAATATCATTTGCAACCTACAGAGGCAGTTACCAAACTTTCTGATTGCCAAATGACTAAATGTATATACATTGTTTACCATATACAGGACATCTTCACAATAGAAAATACTGCCTGTTGAATCTATCAAGAACATATCTATGTCATATTTTACCCCAGAACCAAAATAATTAGTATCATTAAGATTCTAATGCTTTTGTTTCTTTTTTTTTGGCATTATTTCTCTGCAATACAAATAATTATCTGCAGTGGAAAATGTAATCTATCTTTAAGCATGAACTTCATCAGGCTTTCATTACCTTGCTGATGGCAAATTTGTTTTAGACAGACAATCTGACAGTTCTCTTCTCAGACAGTATTTGAATGGTGGGGTAACACCTGTATAGCAGCAACTGTCAAGACACATTCAGGGATGTGCGTGACATATTCAGTGAAATTGAGCATTTGATGAAAGTAAATTGTCTGGTGACTGATAAAATTAGGAAGATGGCATGACATTAATATGATAGAAATATGGTAGCTTATGTAAGAGCATTTGAGACACAAGTTAATGAAGACTGGATTCATACTGAGTGTGTTATGAAATGCTATAATTAACCAGAATGTTAAACAA